TGCCCCCCCCCTTTCCCCCGCTGATACCCCCCCCAGCCCCGTCCTGCGCTGCGGTGAATTTCAATAGCCCCACCCTACCCTGGCTAGCTCATGCAGCATTTAAAGTCAGGCTCCTCAAGCCCAAATTGTGAAGATTTCGGGGTCCGTGCCTGGGACGGCACCAAGATGCCGCTGTGCGGGAGGTGACGGCAGTGGCATGCGAAGGGGACGGCCGCAGCTCCTCTTTCCATGGTGGGGGGAGGAATCCGCTTCCAGCACTCGGATGATTTTGCAATACTTTGACCACCTCATTTCTCATGTTTAAGGAGAGGCACTGCCAGGAAATACACATTTCTTTTTTTAACATGGAAGCGGGGTGCTGGGAAAGGCACAGTGCATTCCCGGTCCCCGTGGGCAAACCCCTTCCCGCTCCCCGCCCGCGACAAAAAAGCCGGGTACCGCGCCGCTCCCACCGCGGCTTCCGAGCCCCCGAAACGCTGGAACGCGCTCTTGCTTCTCAATCAAAAGACACCCCAGAGACCTGGCTGCGGCGCTGAGCCTCGCGCTGAGAAGAAAAGCCATCAGCCCCTCATCAATCTCGCCTTCCAAACAATTCAGGGCAGGTATGTAAGCAACCCAGCCCCGGGAGCCTCTTCTGCTTTTCATAAACAACTTAATTATTAAAACCTGATCCCAAAGAACTTCAGCTTCCGCACCATCAGGCCAGCAAAGCAGTGGCTGGGGTGTACGTGTTGATAGCGATGGGGCTCACAGACAACCCTGCGTTAGCTCCTCTGCCGTCAGGGCCTCCAGCTCTTCTCAGATTTTTACGCTGGAGAAAGCAAAAATGGAATAAACCACAGAAAGAGAATGAAAGCTCCGGCTGCTGCAGTCACCCAGATCCTGTTTTCATGCCCGTGCAAAACCAGGAGCGCAGCAGGTCTGCAGCAAGCTGCAATGGTGCTCAACCTTATTCCCCCACTTTCCTCCCCAATTTTTTTTCCCACCCTTCACAGTGAAAACATTTCCCCAAGATCAGCTTTTTCTCCGATTTGTTGCATACAGCACCCCAGGACCAGCCGAGTCAACGTCTATGAACCGACCCGAGCAGCCAGGCTCTGCCCTTCCATCCTCCCGCTCCAGGTCGTCCCTCAAGCCAAGCGGGGTCTGCGCAGGTCAGGTCTCAGCAGGGAATTTCCAGGGAATTACAAGAGTCGTTGAACCAAAGAAACGTGGGTTCAGCA